TTGGAAAAATCGGTGCACGTTCGGTATTCGTAGCTAGTGATAAGGACCACATGATTGAGACTTTGAATGAGGCTCTCAATGCTTATGAGGTTGGTCGCAGTTTTTAAACTCATGCTATTCATGATCATTCCGCTTATGATATTCTGTAAAATTGCAAAAGTTTTGGAGGTCAAGTGTGCCATTCGTGAAAATTTAAGCTACAGCTGTCGTTGTGATCTTTGATAGTGACAGAGAGCTGTAGCAGGTGTCATCTGTGAGAGTTTCCAGTCATGTGCCGTTGGTGAAGTCCTGTTTGGAGAGGCTCGTGAAGCAATATAGCAAGGGATATCGTAAAGATGGAGGAGGGGAGTAGGGTGCTGCTGTAGGTATTTGACCATATTAACGTGTGGACCGACCCGTTAGAGAGTTGAGTGGTGAACGGATCCACTTAGCGTTGATTAATCTTTTTTGGGATGCGCTACGCGTTCTACTTTAGCTCGGATTCGTAGTAGCATTCTGAGAGTGATTTGCCCTGCTCATGAATCTGCCATTGTTTTGTCCTCCCAGGCGAATCTGGGGCCGGGTGCAGCAAGCCCAACTCGGGGATGGGTCCCGAAAGTCTGTATCTCTGGACCCTTCCCTATTCTTGACCATGAGAGTTGCGTCATCGACCAGAGTAGGGACACAGAGTTTTGGGGACCCATCCCCGAGTTGGGGCTTGCTGCACCCGGCCCTGGTACCAGCTAACTAAACCTGGAATGATGAGAGGCTCAGTCAACTTGAATAGGGTACGGTCGAAGGTTTGATCCGCGGGCCATGCGCGGGGTAGCTGCGCCACTTGCCACTACACAGCTTTTGTCCTCCACAAGCTGTTATGAATCAGGCAATTGTGCTGTTCGCAGTGTTTATAAGATAGTTGATGGACGAATTCCTTTAACGTTTCTGCCTTTACCACAGTATGATCATGATATGTATTATTTAGGTGAAAGCTCATCGACTGAATCCTGACGATGCGTTGGTGTCGTTAGCGATTCTTGGTCAATCAGACCATTTCATCGGAAACTGTGTGTCAACATTTTCCCATATTGTTCGACGGGAAAGAAATGTCAGCAAACCACCCAAACCAACCTCATACTTTGGTATCAAAGGTCAGGAGCGACGGATCGAGCTATAGCTTTTTTGTTATAGTTTTCCATTTTAACTTTTCGTTAGAGAGGATGTAGGAAGTCTCTGTAATCCTGTTGACTCTGAAATATTTTGTATTTCTTAGTATTTTGGTAACGTGAAGTTTTGGAACCAAACTCCAAACCAAAATGCGTTGAGAATCAAAATTGTCTGTGATTTTTGATTATGGGAGTAGCTTTTCGTGATTGTTGAATGCCATC